ATATATATATATCAAATATAACCTGGGCATATACTATTAAGACCCTGTTAAGACTACATAAGACCCTGTCTCAAAATAAAATGTTTAGGACTAGAGATGTAACTCTGTCATGAATGATCATGGGTTCGATTCCCAGTAAAGGAGGAGGAAGAATGGAGAGATAGTAAAGATACTGAAAATGTGAAAATTTTAGCCCTTATATGCTACCACAGTGGGAATGAAAAATGGAGTACTCACTTTGGAGAGAATCTGTCAACTTCCCAAAAAGTTCAACAGTTCCACACTTCACAAAATGACAAAACCATGTATCTGTATAAAAACTAGGCAATGAATATTCATAGCATCATTGTTTTGTTTTGTTTTGTGTTTTTGTTTTTTGAGGCAGTGACTCAGCACTATAGCTCAGGTTAGCTTCGAACTCTATATATGTAGCCCAGGCTGGCCTGGAACTCAGGTGATCACCCTACCTCAGGCTCCCAAGTGCTAGGGATTGTAAGTGTATATCATCACACCTGGCAGCATCATTATTTTTAACAGCTCCAAAGTATAAGCAATTCAAATTTTTTCTTATGATGAACTGATATACAATCTTTTGGGAATAAAACTAAATGAAGTACTGATGTTACAACATGAATGAAATCTGAAAACATTATGCTAACTGGTGAAAAAACAATCAAAATGACTATATGATGTATGCTTTCTTTTATATAAAATGTCCAAAATAACTAATCTATAAGACAGTAGTGGTTACTTATGGCCAGGGAAAGAGGTGGTATTTGGGAGATGGAACTGGGGAATAACTGCTATAAGACACATGGTTACTGTTAATGCTGTGCAACAGTTATTTGATTCTGTTAGTTTACTAAAAAGCTCTGAACTGTACTCTCTAGGATCAGTGGTGGTGAACCTACGGCACACTTGCCACAGTCAGCTGTTTGTTACCAGCAAAAACTCTAAATGGTTTGCCATCACTGCTCTAGATGTATAAAATGCAGTCTGTGAACATTTCAAAGTAGTTTTACTTTTACTTCTTTACGTAAGTCCCTGACTTATGAACATTTGAGTTGCAAACTTTCAAAGGCATACTATATAAGACTCACTTTGTCAGACACAGACAGATCCAACTTATGAACATTCTGCTGGAACAGAACCCATTCATCAGTCAGGGACTTCCTGTATTTTTTTATCATCATCATCATCATCATCATCATCATCATCATCATCATCATCAACAACAACAACAACAACATCTTCAGTATTTGGCAATGTTATAGTTATCTAGTTGTCCCCCCAAAACCTCATGTAGTCATGGGGCAGACTTCTAGACTTTGTGATTGACTCATGATCTACTGGGATTATGGGTGTGAGTACTATATCCAGCCTGAGGTGGATAACTTGAATGCAACGTAAGGGAGACAGACTTGCTCTCTGTGGCTATTATTGCTACTAATCCTCCCTTTTGCTCTTGTTTTGCTTTTTTCTGCCACCATGAACTGCTGCCCTCTGTCATGTGCCAGTCTGTCTTGGACCCAGCTGAGTATGGAATAAAACCTCCACAAACTGAGATAAATAAACCTTCCTTCTTTTTTGGTGTCAGAAACTTCATCCTAGCAACAAGAGAAGAGTAACTGAGATAGGCAATGAACCAACAGCCTTCTGCATGTTAACCATGTTAATCCTCAGCGTAATGTATATTTTTTTAAAAAAACATTTTAGATTACAAAGTACAACAAATCTAGTAGTAACTCAATTTTATCTAACCTCTGAGGTGTAACTGCTCTTTTAAAGCAACTCACATAAATTCCATCACCTGACCCAGCTCACTCCACACAGACAATAAAAGTGTATGTTTCCTACTACACTTTCTAGACTATTCCAGATTCAATTTGGGGCTGAACTTTACCAATCAATCTAGTTCAACTAGGACTCAACTGCTCTGAATAGCTGCATCTCTTAAGTTGTTTTAAAACAAAGAATTTTAGACTGCCAAAATATTGTTTAGTCTTAACTTCACAGTTCATCTTGCCTTCAGTTTACTCCTCCTCATTTCTGACTAATGGCCAAATTCCTGGTACTTAAACTTATTCCTGAGAATCTACTGGGTTTCTATAATTGTGAAGCCAAGCTTGAAAGGTAGAGTTTCCCATAAAGAAACAGGATACAGAGATATAGTTCACAACATATAAATCTGTTATACCTTGATTAATATCTTATTAATGAAAAAAATCTTAGTAATGGTTCCATGCTATTTTTAGGGTCATTTTGAACTCCTTAATAGGACACAGAGGGTCACCCCAAACTTTTCTTCCCCCAACTTCATTGTTACCTTTTCTCCTCCACACTGTGTTCTTCCTGCCTCACTGCAAGGCCTGGAACAAGCAGCTATCTCTACCTGACCCTCTAATTTAAGTAATGTACTTTGTCAATGGTTGCTTCCTACCTTATAACTCTCCTACCTCCTATTAATATTGTACATGTCTTGCTTCACCATACTGTGAGACCTCTAAACACAGTAACTGCATTTTGTCTATGCTTTCAAGAAAAATAAATACCGTTTAAAATAAATGTATGCATGAGGGGGTAATTATTTCTGTTATTCACTGAAATTCCTAGGAAAAACATTTAATAAATGTTTAATGAATGAGTGGAGCAGGTTATTTAAGTTGCGTAGAACTACAAAAGGCAGAAAAGCTGCAAAGACAAAAACTGAATTTATACAAAGGACAGGTATGAAGAAGACCTACTATGGAAAATCAAGAAATCTGGCTTTTAAAAATAGTCTCTATATGACATGATGGGGGAGGGTGTGATCTCATTTTAAAAATGACTTAAAAGATAATAAATGCTACAATAAATTATATCAATCTAGAAAATAAACCCAAAACATAATTAATTTTTTTTTTTGTCTTTGACATACTGAGTTTAAAAGGCGTAAGTAGTGAAATCTAAATAATCAAGTCAGGTCTTACTATATGCCATATGCCACCTAGATTTCCCTTTGAAGGTCATTTCTAACATGACCTTTAATCTTCACAATAAAATTATTTCTTTTTTTTTAATGACAGGATCTCTCACTATGTGGTTCAAGTTCTCTTGGACTCAGTATATAGCTCAGGTTGGCCTTAAACTCAAGGGGATCCTCCTCCCTCAGCTTCCCAAGATCTGGTATTATAGGTGTGTGCCAAATGTCCAGCTCATATTAACATTTTTGAAGAACAAAAATTATTCCATCTTAAATCACCAGGTATTATTAAAAAAGGGATTTTTTTTTTTTTTTGGGGGGGTACTGAAAGTCAAATTCACAACCTCGGACTTGCCAGGTAGGTGGTGAGCTATATCCCCAGCCCTTAAAAAGGGAAAGCAGTACAGTACTTTTTTTTATTTCTGAAAATATTGTAAAAACTATGCAGATGACTAATGTATATATATATATGAAATATATATATATTTATTTATTTATTTATTTAAGTGCTTTTTTAGTAAAAAAAAAAATTTTGCTCTAGCCTAGTTTCATCATAGTGAAACTATCATAGTTGTTTATCTCCTATGCCATAGATTATGGCATAGGAGATAAACAACTGTGTGCCTCTTCAATAATTCAATTCTCTGAAGCATGAAGCTAGCACCAGTGGTACATTCAATACTGAACTAGGTATAATGAGGAATAGTGAAAGGATGAATAAGCAGGAAAAAGTGATTAAATTTTTAAAAATACTACCTTTGATATATTTTTCTTGGATACATTTTTAATAAAAAGACAAGCCATTCTTTTTCAATGAGTTTTTAAGACTAATTCCTAGTTTAAATAAGGTATCACAGGATTAAAAACACTGCAATACTATCTTAAGTTCTCTCTCCATACATTTTCTTAATGAAACATAGACAAGAAAGCTGAGTCTTTATCAATCCAGTTTTGGTCTAGTGGGACCAAATTAAAATATATTGTAGTCAAATCAAACAAGGTATTATTATCTGAGGGTTTTTACTGAAGTTCTTGGGGCAATGAGGCTTTAAAGTTCTAAAATGGCTTAAACTTCTACAGTAAAAAACAAAACACATATACAGAAAACTTTAAAGACAACAAAATTCTGACCTTTTCTCTTTCAACGTTATGCTCCCCTAGGCATGTGAAAGCATGTGAAATACTGGTGTGCCTAGGGCTTCCATTAGTGTCAATCAAGTCATTGGTAAATGCTTATCTCATTGACAGAATAAAAACAAACAAGCCTACACAATCCAAAAAAAAATTAAGTCTTGTACAAAGATAAAAATGGCAAATCTTGGCTATATACATCTTATAAATTTTTCTGGTGGTTTTCATTACCTCTTCTTTTAGTGCATGTTTCCTCTGTTCCAAACAGATCTCTTTAGCTCTCATCATTTGTAAAGTCTCTTTGGAAACTGCATATTGAAGTTTTTCCATTCGTTCAGCGGCTGCTGCCCATGATGCTTTGCCAAATTTCTTCTGATCTGCTCGCATTCGATCGTAGACAGCTATTAATAATAATTTTGAAGTGACATTAAGACATAATATATGGGCTGGGGAGATAGTAGAATAAGTGCTTGCCTGGTAAGCACAAGGTCTTGAGTTCAATCCCCAGTACCACAAAAAAAAAAAAAAAAAAAAAAAAAAAAGACATAGTACAACTTGATGCTCAAGAACTAAAAAAAAATCTTAGATTTCACTAACTGTACGTAAATTTTATCTCCTATATAACATCTCTAAAATATAATTCAAAGGTAACATACATTCTAACATTTCAGTTCATCTTTAGAAATAATGTTCTGTAGATGAAACTGGATTGTCTGAATAGTTCTGAATATTTTTAGAAATACTTGTATATACTTAATGCTATTAACTTCCAAAACATTTATAAAAATTTATTCTATGAAGACTTTATACTTTCTTTTAGGTATGTCAATTGAAATAACTCAAGATTAAAAACACTCAACTGGGCAGAGTGGCACATATTTATAATCCCAGCACTCGGTTGCTGCAAATTTAAGGCAGCCTGGGCTACATAGTTGAGTCCAAAACTAACCTGAACTACACAGTGAGACGCTGTCTTAAAAAAAAAAAAACAAAACCCAACACTCAAATCCACATTCCAGCTGTTACCATTCTGTTTTCCTCCAACTTAATAATATGACAGAGGAAAATAAATCAGGTATCATCATGGCACTCATCATAATTATGCCCAACTATAATAACTGACACATTTCAATCAGCATAAAAGAAACAGGGAATTAGATTAGTACCAAATGGGGCATGGTCACTGGTAATTTATATTTTCAAACGTAATAATTTGGGTCAAGAATATAGCTCAGCAGCACAGCACCTGCCTGGCAAGCATGAGGTCTTGACTTTGATTTCTGTGCAAATAAAATATAATATATGTACTGCTACTATACCCTAACCATCTTTTATAAGAAAGAACAGTTCAGGAACCTTTTATAAAATGCACCCCTCTTTTAACAATAATACATCTGCATGCTTAAAAATCAAAATGTACAACTAGTTCTTTGTATTGAGCTCTCAGGTCTAGCTCCAACTACCCAAATGCAACTAAATTTTAGCTGCTTTCAGATGACTTGTTCCATTGAGGAATATTGCTGTTTCTTAATTTATAGTCTTTAAGAATCATTTGTTCATGATTAGTGTAATCATTATGTACTACAAACACATACTAACAAAAAGGAAAAGAATCATCTATTCAATTCCAATTATGACAGATGAATCTGGTTACTGAAAAGCTCCATTCCCAAGAGTTACATCACTTCTTTTGGTTTTCTGAGTTCTGCTGCTACCATTCTTGGTGGTCATATAAATGCTAATAGAAAGCAATGTTTCCAATTCATAATCTCTTTGAACCTCAATTTCAAGGTGTCTAACAAAATCTACCCATCTTTATAGACTGTCAAATAAAATTTCCCTGTCTTAAAATTTCTGTCCATCTTTTAAAACTGTAAGACCACCTAGCTCAGTTCTTTAAGTGGCTGCTTCCACAAAGCTTTCAGCCTCAGGTTGCTGTAGTTCGATCCCCACAACACTCCAGCCAGCCAAACCACAACTGAGGGCATTCGGAGAAAAAAAAAAAAAAATCCTAAAATTGTAAGACCAATATAGCAGTGCTCTGTAAGGGAAAAACAGTTTGGGACTTATGTAGATTTCTGTTAAAATTCTAGTCCTGCCCACAGTTGGTATGTATCTTTTGCCAAGAAATTTAACCATTCTTGGGCTCAATGCCCTTGAGGGAAAAAGGAAGGAAAAATACAGCACTTTACCAGAGAGCTACTAATGCAGTTTTTCAAGAAGAAATAATAGGTAACTGAATGTCTCTCCTACTTTACCTAACAACACTGATCCAAAAAAGGAGGTTTTTTCCTCTCATGTACAGATCATCACAACTATCAATACTGATCTATTTTTTCAAAGCACTTTTCCGTATTTTTAATCTAACATACCCAGCAACCCCAGAGATAAGGCAAAATATGTATTATCAACACCTGCCATGTAAGAAAATGGAGAGCTCTGGCAACTTAAGGTAAGGTTGTGATATAGTGTTACCAAACTGCTCACATCCCTAATTTATTACTGGCTACAATTTCTCTAGTGATAGCATTGAGCCAAACCCCCCCCATACTGCAGGGCTGGATCTGCAGGGTCTGGCTCAGTTTGGGTTGTTAGCTACTACATCATCTCCATGCCTTGCCTTTCCAGTATTTTTGGATGAAACAGTCTCATAGTTAATTATTGTTTATTTCACTTGAAATTATTTTTAAATAGGTCAAGATTATGATGGTATTACAAGTTTGTGTATGAGGAATGTTGGAATAGCCCTAGAAAAGCGTGGAGAGTGGCTGAACTTGGAAACTGATCATGGCCAGCTTCAAGAACACAGTACCTGGCCAGGGAGATAGCTCAGCCGAAAAAGTGCGTGCCTGGCAAGGGCAGGGTCCTGAGTTCAATTCCTGGTACCGCAAAAAAACAAAAAACAAAACAAAAACAACACAGTACCTGAGGCAAATCACATGAATAAACTAAAACTAGTCTCAAGAACACAGAATGCCAAAGACACGCACAGACAAGCCACATGGATAAGCTATTAGGCAGAGAGGTTTCACGTGATAGTCAACCTTCCAAGTGTACAAATGCATTGCAGCAGTCGGAGCCCTCTTCTTCATCACTTCCTCTATCAGGAAAGAGGGCTCTATACGGCCTCAAGTTTTCTGTATTTCTATCCTTGTCAAAAATTTTTTCCAACCTCTCACCGTCCTTACCCTGGGAACAGGAAAACCCATGCATGATACAATAGAAAAGTACTAAAATATCCCTAAAACACTTCTCTCTCACTGCTGACAAGAATGAAGGTTCTTATAAGATAACCATTTATAGGGCAACAATGATGCTACTGTAATGATGTTTACAGGGTAGCACGTTAAATGTATTTAAAATCTATTTTTAAACGTAACACTCTAACACACATCTTTGTCAGGCCTATTTAAGGTGGGTATTTTTTTGTTTGTTTTTGATACTGAGTCTCCCTGAGTACTTTGGGCCAGCCTTGATTTTACTAGGTACCCAGAGAACTCCAAATGATCCTCCTGCTTCAATCTCCCTAGTGCTGGGATTACAAATGTTCACTACCACTGCTGCCTAAATTGGGTGTTTTTAGTATTCTGTAACATACTAAAATTAGGCTTTATCTAGCTTTGTAGAATAAAATATAAAGGGCTGTTTTACTCCTCCCTTTAAAGAGAAAACAAAAATTGTTCTCTCATTGAGACATAAAGAAGGCCTTCATTCTCTCAAGTTTAAAGTCCTACAGAGACCCCTCATTCTGTTTCTTCTGCATGGGAGAGCAGAAACAAGCTCAGAAAAGAGAAGCAAAAAAGTCAAATTAGTTAGCTCTTTTTATTCAGGGACAAATCCTTATTGTAGGATAAAAAGTCTAAAATAATTTTGATGAGACATGTGGAATCCTATAATGATATTTCCCACAGAGAAACTTTTCCTATAATAATTTGTACTCATAAATACAAATGCTTTGGGGATACAGCTCAGAGAGAGGGACAGATGGAGGGAGGGAGGGAGTGTGGGGGACAATATCTACAAAACTGACTCTACAAACCACGTAGCTTTCATCAAGATATAAAGTTGCTTAAAAGATGTTATTATTTATTTTTTTTTCCATTTTTATGTTTTATTTTTAAAATTATCATATAGCTCTATGATAAATAACTAGAATTTGCTTCTCACATGCAAATGAATTGTTAACTCTGCAGAATCATATTCTAGGGTATAGATCAGCAAGTCCCGGCAATTCTTCATCGCCACTACACCCTGGTATTAGTGTTTTTATTTTAGCCATTTCACCTTGTGCACAGTAGCACCCAGCTTATTACGGTTTTAATCTGCATTTCCACAATGAGCAATAATGTTGAACATACTTTCCTATGCTTATTCGCTGTTTTCCCATCTGTTAAGTGGACTGTTATCAGTTTGGAGTTATTTATATAACCCTGATACAGGATTTTTTTGTTTTGTTTTTTGGGGGAGCATCAGATATGTGATTTGCACATATTCTCTCATGATTTCTTTTGATATCAGGCAGAGTAAATTTTGATGAAATTGATTTTTTATTAATTTTCTTGTTTATAGTCTGTGCTCTTTATCATTTTAATGTTTTTTTCCCTTTGTATCATTACTAAGACTTTTCTGCCTAACAGTTTTTATATAAATTTACACAACTCTAGGAAACGGATTTGCATGTTTTCTTCTGAAATTTTGTCGTTTTAACATTATGTATTGATCTATGATCTATTCTGGTATCAAAGGTTTGAGATTTAGGTTAAGGTTCTTTTTTTTTTGCATACCAATAGCCAATCATCTGAATTATCATTTCTTGTTGCTATTTATTATTATTATTATTATTATTATTTTCTCTTTCGGTACCAGGGATTAAACTCAGGCCCTTACAGTAAGCACTAGGCAAGTGCTTATTCTACTGAGGAGCCCCTCTTGTTGTTCTTTAACTTGCTGCATCAATTAATGACTACGTTAATGGATTAAAACATTACATTTGTGCCTACTTCCATACCCTCCATTCTCTTTCACTGAATTAAAAGAGTAGGTATATGTATATATGTCCTTAAAAATGACTGAAATGTCACCTCTTAATTTGCTAATAGTAGTCTCTAATTACTGGGATAAGTGATCTTTATATATTTTTCTATATAATTCTTCTGAACATAAAGCACTTCAGCTTAAAAATGCCAAAGAAAAAATTTTACTGGAAAACTTACCTTTTTGAGCTTTAGCTGTTATTTCAAAATACTTGACAGTAAGATCCTGAATAGATAATACAGCCATGTGAGCTTTCCGCTGCCAATCAGCATCTTCTTTTTGTAGACTCTCTATTCTTCGGGGTCCGAGATAATCATTCTCCATAGATATCTTTAGAAAGAAAATGTGAAAAATAAGTTTATTTCTGAGCTGGGTGTGTTAACATGCCTGTTGGTGTAGAAAGATGAGCAAATTTGAGTCAGTCTGAATAAAGTAGTGACACTCTGCCTCACAAATACAATTTATTTTTTATTTTTTTTATTTATGAGAGAGAGAGAGAGAGAGAGAGAGAGAGAGAGAGAGAGAGAGGGGTGTGTGTGTGTGGCCAGCTCAGCCCACCAGGGGGCGGGGCTGGCTGGCATGTGGTGCTGGGGGATTGAACCGCGGTCCCTGATGCCTTGCCAAGCTTGTTCTAAGTAGGTGCTTTAGACCACTGAGCCATCTCTCCAGCCCCTACAATTTATTTTTTATTTTATTTTTTTTTTTTTTACAAATACAATTTAAACTAGGGCGGGGCATCTGATTCTTGACAGAGGGGCCAAAACGTATGTGAAGACAGCATTTTTAACAGTGGTGGGAAACTTGGGTTATCCATATGCTGAAGTCTAAAACTAGATTCCCAAATCTCACCCTATTGGGGGAAAAAACCTGAACAAAACTCAAAACAGATTAAAAGCCTAAATATAAGTATTAGAATTCCAAAACTGAAGCAGGAAGATCTTTGTTCAAGGCTAACCTGGGCTACATAACAAGCACAAAGCCAGCTGGATTACAAAGCTAGACATTGTCTTTCAAAACACAAAACAAAACAACTTAAAAAATGTAAGTACTGTATGATCTAACTCTACATACCATACCTTGGAATACATCTGAAGGAATAAAAATGTGCCTACTATAGAGATAGCTGCACAGACATGTTTACTGTAGCATAATTCAAAATAACCAAGATAGAGAATCTGCCCGTGAGCCCATCAATAGGTAAATGGATGAAGATGTGCTATGTATACACAACAGAGTATCAGATCATAAAGAACAGATGTCATCATAGGAATATGGACAAAAATGAAGATCATTATATTAAGACAGACATGTATGGTGTATATCACCTGTTTTCCATAAGGTGGAACAGAGCAGGCAGGGAAAGAGGGTATGAGAAGGGAGGAGGAGGGCTGAGAGGGGACAGGAGAATAGTAATAGCGGTGTGGCTTTTTTTTTTTTTTCTTCTATAATTCATTTGCCAAACATTTACTGAATGTTTATGTGCCCAGTATTATGACTGGTACTAAAATAAAGACCATTATTTGTTTTATGTCCTATTCTAGTGAAGCAATTGATTTAACAACAAGTGAATTAATAAGAATATTTAATATTGAACACAAATCTATTTTCTTTTCTTTTTTTTTCAAAGTTTTATTGATAAACAGATAGCAATGAGACAGTTTCAAATCAAATCAGAAGTACAGTTTCAACAAATAATACACTGCATATATTCTTCTTAGTGGTTAATTGCCGTACAAGAGGCAGACTTGTGATCCTATTTACAAACACCATTAGAACAAATCATTCTATTCATTAAGAGAATGCAACTATATATCTATCCCAACCACTTTGAATACACAGATACAAAATGGACATTCATAGTTATACCCCATTTTTTTAAGTTCCGTTATTGAATATTATAGGTGTATAAACTCAGCAAAATATTCTAAAAGAGTCCAGTAGCCCATAATAGCATTGGGTCTTCTGTTTAACTGGCAATGTCAGAAATTATTGACCTGAGTCCCCCACAGCTCAACTTAACAGCACGGCTTTATTTCCTATATTTCGTCTTCATACTTTTCTACTGGATGGTTAAGACCAAGGTAAAGCAGGACCTGTGCAACAAGAGTTGTAGCTTTTTGGTCTGAGAAGGACAAATCTATTTTCTGTCCCCCCTTCTCTATGACCTATCCTCTCCTCCCACTCAATATATATACAAAGAATATATACCAAAATGTTAAGTAGGATTATTTTGGAGCAATGAAATATTAAGCAATTTATTTCTTGAATTAGAACATGAATTATTTATGTAACAAAACATTAAAATGACATTAAATAAATAAAATACTGAAATAGTTGATTTTCTCAGAGTTAAAGACTGATAATATAAATTGGGCTTGGTGGCACACGTCTGCAATCCCAGCACTTAGGAGGCTGAGGCAGGAGGAATGCTACAAGTCAGATGTCAGCATGGACTACAAAGTAAGTCAAAAGCCAGGCCAAACTGCATCACAAGGGAGAGAGGGAGAGGTAGAGAGGGTGAGAGGCGGAGAGACAGACAGACAGAGACAGAGAGAAAGATAAGAGACAGAGACAGAGACAGAGACAGAGACAGAGAGAGAGAGAGAGAGAGAGAGAGAGAGAGAGAGAGAATATCAGTCTACATGCATGTTGAAAAAAAGACACTGGCTAAAAAAATGTATTTTTTGGGGGGTGCTTTTTTGGTCTCAAACCCATGGCTCTGCACATGTCAGGCAAGTGCTCTAACACTGATCTACAACCCCAAGTCCTTTTGATTAACAGAGCAAAGGCTGGGCCTGGTGATACCTAACTATAATCCCAGCACTCTGGAGTGCTGAGGCAGGCAGTATAGCTCAGTCTGAACAATTAAGCAAGCCAGCAAGACTCAGTTTCAAAACAAAAAATAACAAGAAGCCAGCCATGGTGGTATATGCTTTTGGTACAAGAATTCAGGAGGTTGAGGCAAGAAGATTGCCACAAGTCCAAGGCCAATCTAGGCTATGTAGTATGTTCATGACCACCCTGAACTACACAAGGAGACCCTGTCTCAAAAACAAACAAACAAAAGGATTAGGAATACAACTCAGTAAGAAGGCACTGGGTTCAGTCCCAGTACAATGTGTACTGGGGAGTGTTTAAACTTATAACAATAAGTCTCATGACAGCCCTGAAGAATTCTGACATTCTTGGTTAGGTGGAGAAGTACCTATGGAAACCAAGACAAAGATACAAAGAATCTAAGACCCCACAGGACTTGAGGGAGGAGAAAACTGCCTTTGCCATTCTGCAGCACTTCATGGTAATATGTGGTGACTGATGTCCATGGACCTAACACTGTGAACATCACTGACCTCAGCAATACTGTTCTGGGGTGATAGGCAACTCCATGTCTAGTCATTTTCCATCACATTTCCAGGTCTCAGCTCAGTTACTGATTGATGAAAGTTCCTGGACTTTCCACAGGAAGTTCTTCATACACTCCCTGCACCTTTCCTTCATAGCATTTGTCACAAACATATTTTATATTATTTTGTGAACCTGTCAATGCTAACTGCTTAAAAAAAAAAAAAAAAAAGTGCTGTTTTCCCTCAGTGAAAAGATTGGATGGCTTGTTTTCTACTAATACACTGTATAGCATGAACAGGCAATTATAAAATATTTCCTGAATGACTGAAATGAATTTTAAGGCCCGGCCAGAGAGTTCAGCAGATTAAAGCACCTACTTAGGTAGATGCAGTGACAGGAGTTCAACTCTCAGCACCACAAGCCATGCTGGCCCCATCCCCAGGGTGCACTGAGGCAGCAACTGAGACTGGGCATGGTGGCACACAACTGTAATCCCAGCACTTGGAAGTCTGTAGACAGGAGGTTCACTACTAGTCTGATCTGTGTAGTGAGACCCTATAGACCCTGTACTAAATACATTTTTTTAAAAAATGAATTTTAAAAACTCACTTCTACTTTTCTTTTTTTTTTTAGAACCGGGGATTGAACTCCGGTCCTTGTGTTTGCCAGGCAAGTAGTTATTCCACTGAGCCATCTCCCTGGCCCTCAAAACTCATTTCTATATATTTCTGTAATGTACAGAAAAATATAAAATACATATATAGTATAAAAAAAACTCTTCTGAGAAATATAATTATGTAGAGGGACAGAGAGAAAAGGGTAGACCTGGGAGAAAATATAGGCTTAAAAATAGGGCCTTTTTAACAATTTATTTCCTTATGGGGTTTTTTTTGGGTCCTATCTTAATGGATATGTTATAGTAGGATATTGGTGATAAGAAAGAAGCATCCAGCAGAGACAGAATCTAAAGTTGAAAGAAAGTGAGATGGGTTACCTGGAGTAAGGAATTCCCTAAGAAAATACCTTCAAATAGCAACAACCAGAGATGTTCACAGTGCAAAGTTGTTTGAAATAAAGGAAAAAAATTGATCCCCAAAACCGAAGTTATACCTAATATTCTGCTAAAATACAATTCCATGCAATAATTAACATTCATGAAGTTTTTGATAAGAAATTATGCTATGAGGGGCCTGCCCATTAGCTCAGTTGTTCTAGTGCCTGCTTAAACAAAGCAGTCAAGGTTCAGGATGCTGTGGTTTGATTCTGATACTCATGCCAAACCAGACCTGCCCTGAAGGTATTCTGAGGCTGGTAAAAAAAAAAAAAAAAAAAAAAGCTATGAGGTAGAGACAAGTTAAAATCATAAATATGATTTCTGAAAAAAAAATCACAAAGAACTTTTGAATTCACAAGCCATACCATCTATAGAGGAAGAAAATATTATCCCAGGAGTTTCCTGTTTCTGGTCAAGCAAACAATGAACTAATGTTTTTATATGTGAAGCCCTACAAGAGGTAAAACCATGCATTACCTCTTTTTTCCCAGGGTACAGAGCAAGGAAAGGAAACGGAGATACAATAAGAGCCTAAATGTCTCTACCAATAGTTAGAAAATGAATTATATGAACCTATAAATACAGTGGCAAGCAAAGGAAATTAAGTGGGGGGGGGGGAGTTAGGTCCTGGACAGCCAATTCTCTATTCAGTTGGGCTGGGGTTTTTATCATTGCTACTGTTTTTATTTTAAAATTCTCACAAGCTCTCCAATTTCAAAACTCAAACATAAATATGTACTGGATATGTCTGATTCATATCCAGTGTATATCTGCTCCCTTTTAGATTTTCTCATGCCTAACAACTTGTATAATTTGGTGTTTTTTGTTTTTTTTTTTGTAGTACTAGGTATTGAACTCAGGACCTTGTGCTTGCCAGGCAAGTGCTTATATTACTGAGCTATCTCTCTAGCCCCTACTTGTATAATTTGAA